GCGATGATGAATCATCATTTACCTTTCTTTTTAGTTTGGCTTTCTTGACCCCAATAGGTCTTTTAGATGGAGAACCAGTAGCAAATTGATCCGAGTCGCTTAAATTTATAGAAAATGAAGAGATACTTGCGGATTCTTGTCGGCCAGACTCGGGAGTTGGATTTTCTGACTCCGAAGATGGATAACAACCAGACTGTTTTTTCTTGCTCCTCGAAGCTCCATCTTTAAATTTTTCAAAATTTTTAATAATATCCCAAACATGATCGTATTTCCATCCGGATTTGAATTTGGAATCTTCTTTGAACAACACTTTCGCTCTGAGCATCTACAATTTTTCATAAACAATTAACCATAGCTAATATAAATAATAAATTTAATATATAAAAAATACAATCAGATTTTAGTACTCACTGTATCTTCATGTGATGCACCACTCTGATGCATATCTTCTACTGCTTTTATGCATGCATGAAGTCTTTTGGCTGCTTTTTCGATTGTTTGAATTCGTGCTTGCATATATCTCTTGGTACGAACCTCCCAATGCTCAAGCCGTCCTTCATTGAAAGCATTTTCAATACGGGACCAAAATCGATCAGATGATTGATATACCCCAATAATTGGGTCCTGAGAAATATCCATATAAACTTGACATAAAAGAACATCTTCATCATGGTTATAGGAAGATGAACGGATCGACATTCTTACAAGATGTTAGTTGTGCTAAAGCTTTAGTGTAGAGAATAAAAATGTTGGGGTGTATTCACTACAATATGATATCTTCTTTTATAGTGAAAGACCCTCTCCTCTCTCCATGGTTTAACCCGAAATGACATATCACTGCATTGACCCGAAAATGACCACTCTCTGCAAAGTTGATCACGCTTATCCATATTCTGACCGGAAAATGACATATCACTGCAATGTCCACAACTCTCAATGCTATGACCCGAAGATGGACACTCTCTGCAAAGTTAATCACGTTTATCCATGTTCTGACCCAAAAATGACACATCACTGCAAAGTTGATCACGCTTATCAATGTTCTGACCCATAAGTGACATATCACTGCAAAGTTGATCACGCTTATCCATGTTTTGACCCGTAAGTGACATATCACTGCAAAGTTGATCACGTTTATCCATGTTCTGACCCGAAAATGACACATCACTGCAATGTCCCCCACCTCTCTCAATGCTTTGACAGTTTGACCCGAAAGTGGACACACTCTGCAAAGTTGATCACGCTTATCCATATTCTGACCGGAAAATGACATATCACTTCAATGTCCACAACTCTCAATGTTGTGACCCGAAAATGGACACTCTCTGCAAAGTTAATCACGTTTATCCATGTTCTGACCAATGACACATCACTGCAAAGTTAATCACGCTTATCAATGTTCTGACCCATAAGTGACATATCACTGCAAAGTTGATCACGCTTATCCATGTTCTGACCCGTAAGTGACATATCACTGCAAAGTTGATCACGCTTATCCATGTTCTGACCCGAAAATGACACATTACTGCAATGTCCCCTACCTCTCTCAATGCTTTGACCCGAAAGTGGACACACTCTGCAAAGTTGATCACGCTTATCCATGTTCTGACCCGAAAATGACCTCTCACCAAAGACTGTCACGCCTATCAATGCTTTGACTTGAAAATAACCACTCCCCACAAAGGTTACCACACCTTTCAAATTCACTACTATAAGAACATAACATATACTAAATCCATCACACATTTGAATCTCTTCAAACATTTATCATATTTCTCTATCTTTCTACAATGAATTTTAATTTTGGCAATTCGTCATCTTCTTCCTCTGATTCTGAGGATGATCATATGCTAATTATGAATGCTCTTCGTCAAAAACAAGCAGTGATAGCTCAAGCTATCGCTAATAACAACATCATCATTCAACATCTTATCAATCAACAAAACCAAGAAGCCTCCCATGGAGGATCTGTTCCTGGGCATATTTTTATCAATCGTGATCGAGAGGCTGCTGATCGTAGGTTGTACAATGATTATTTCTCAGAAAATCCATTGTATAACGACCCATGTTCCGTAGAAGATACAGAATGTCTCGCTCGTTGTTCCTTCGAATTGTCGACGCAGTCAAAGATCATGATCATTACTTTCAACAACGAGTGGATCGAGCAGGCATACTTGGATTATCTCCAATACAAAAAATAACTGCTGTCTTTCGTATGTTGGCATACGGCGTTCCAGCTGATGCTACAGACGAGTATGTTAAAATTGGTGAGTCCACTGCAATTGAAAGTATGAAAAATTTTTGTCGATCGATAGTTGAGGTATTTGGCGAGCGATATCTGCGGAGGCCCACATCTGATGATATTTCCAGGCTTTTATACATTGGCCAGCAACGTGGTTTTCCAGGAATGTTGGGGAGTTTAGATTGCATGCATTGGAGGTGGAAAAATTGTCCTACAGCGTGGGCTGGCCAATATGCTGGTCGTAGTGGAAAGCCTACAATCATTCTTGAAGCTGTAGCAGATTATGATCTATGGATATGACATGCTTATTTTGGTTTGTCGAGCTCCAACAACGACATTAACGTTCTAGAATCATCTCATCTTTTCTCGGATCTAACCCAAGGTATTGCTCCTCCAGCTCATTATATAATTCAAGGAAAAGAATACAACATGGGTTATTATTTAGCTGATAGCATATATCCAAAATGGTCTACCATTGTGCAAACAATTCATGAGCCACGTGGTCCAAAGAAAAAATATTTTGCAATGAAACAAGAAGCCTGCAGAAAAGACGTTGGACGTGCATTTGGAGTTCTTCAATCACGTTTTGGCATTGTAGCAGGACCAGTACGTTATTGGCGAAAAGAAGTGCTACATGATATCATAACCACATGTATAATTTTGCATAACATGATTGTCGAGGATGAACGTGACCTAAGTGCACCAATAGAAACTGAAATGGAAACGCCGCCGCCTGAGGTCGAAATGGCAGTAGATGAAAGTGCTCGATTTCAAGAATTTATATCTCGGTACAAAAAAATTAGAAATAAAGATGATCATATTGAACTTCGGAATGCACTAATTGATCATTTATGGGAAGAATTCACCAACTCCGAGACTTGAAAGACTATCTATTTTTACGTGATTGTTGTAATTTTCTATTTTATCTATGTGTTGTAATATTTAAATTGTTATTTTGCGTGTCGTAATTTCTAATTTTATCATGTGTGTTGTAATTTTTAATTTTTCATCTTATGTGTTGTATTTTTAATTTTTTATTTTGTGAATTATAATTTTTAATTTTATTTGTGTGGTGAAATTTTAATTTTTAATGAATATTTATTTCTCCGATTTTATTATGTATAATTAAATTTAATTACATAAAGTCCAAATTGAATTTAAAATAATAGTGTGATTTAATTTGTAAAGTTGTAAAATATGTGGATAGTATTGAAAAGTTATAAAAGTTGGTGTAAAAGAGAATAATCTGGGAATATTCTTTTGAGTTTGAGAATGAGTTTTTCGATTGGAGATGAATTACTGCAAAATGGAATAATTACTGCAAGATAGGTTTTAGTTTGGGTTTTTCGGTTGGAGATGGCCTTACGCCGTGCTGTATGACGCATTGTTTTTGTTCAATTATTATTGTTCACTTTCGATTTTCAAGACAAGACTCATGGCGTTCGTTTTTCAAAGATAAGACGCGTGTGTAGTGTGTAAGCAACGTGATGCGGCAACCGAGGAGATTGTAGCATCACTTGAGATTCATGCACCGAGTAGCTTGTTGTTTAAAATATTTCTGTAGCTATACTTTAAAATATAATTCTCTATAATATTTAAACATCTCATTATTTTATAGATATAGTTATTTATATTTAAAATATTTCATTATTGATTTTTCAAATTTGCATGTTCCATAACTGATTATGGAACAAGTAAAACAACTAATTAATTAACATAATTAGTACCAATTATTTTTTCCAAAAAACTAGGGCTTCGGACGATGGTCGGTAATGACCTCAACGCAGTCACCGACGGCACCGCGACTTTTGATTCAGGCGACGATTTGTGTCGTCACAACCTAGACTCAGAGTTTCCGGTCCTAGACCGGAGTGTGTTGTCTGTAACTAAGCATTCAAAAACCCGTAAAAGAGCAGCCGATGAATGGGAACAACAGGCCCATCCCCCTCGTCAATTGAACCCAGCAACAGAGCAGGATCACCCACCACGCAAATGGACCTTTAAAGATATGGTTAACAAACACCGTCACCACGTGGAATTGGAACTAGAAGAAGACTGTACGAGAACTGATGAAGAGAGCGATGTGTATGTGGACTATTCCCGTTTAACACCGGACATTACGATTGCTCAGAAATTTATCGAACAAATTAACAAGGAATGGCAGAATGTGGTGGTGGTAAAACCCTTCGATGATACGCTCACTATGGCATCACTCTACAACCGGCTTACTAAGATGTGGCCGTTCATGTCCGGCTGCAATATGATGGACTTAGAGAACGACTTCTATCTGATCCACTTCCGCACCAATGAAGACACGATTCAAGTTCTTACTGGCGGTCCATATGTGGTCGGAAGTAGCTATATGCACGTCCAACCTTGGTCACTTGATTTTGATGCTACAAAGGAGGAACTAACGGCAACGATTGCTTGGATTCGGCTACCCGGTATGCCGGCCCATTTGTACCACCTGAAGATTTTCTGAACGATTGGTCGAGTGGTTGGTAGGGTCGTTAAGATAGACCAACAAACTGCAGCCCTCACCCGAGGCAAATATGCAAGGCTTGCGATTCAGGTAGATTTAACGAAACCGCTATATGTGAACTTTACTATTAACGGGAGTACTCAACGAGTGGTCTACGAGAACCTTCCCATTATTTGCTTTTAATGCGGAAGGATTGGCCACTCAGGGAGTACCTGTATCCACCAGCCACCGCCCGATAAATAACACGGTCTAAAGGACCCACAACCTGGAGCAAATATGAGACAAGAGAAGACAGTGGACGGAGTTTCGGGCCCTACAGAAGTAACACAGCATGATGGTGACAACTTATATGGGCCTTGGATCCAAGTGCCACAACGCTCACGACCGGCCTATGGAAAACGCTATACAGGAACGGATAAGCCTCATATAGCTCACAACCAATCCATGTCTACAGGCTTGGGATCTCGTTTTGATATCTTGCACAGAGAAAGTCTGAATGAACCTAACTACACCTTCGAATTCGGGTCATCCTCAGCCAGTAAACCAAGGGAAGAAAGAGCAATGCCAAACAAGAGCGGCGGAGGTAAGGGCGAGAAAGAATGGCGACTGTTTTCGGGGAAGGGGAAAAACCAAGGAAGGGCAACAACGTTTAATACGAGAGCGGTTGCACCGAGCGGATTTGAGGACATAGCTGAACCACGAACGACCTCAGAGAAATCTAGTACCAAGTTCATCTCTCATATGCCTGGACTGGAGAAAGAAAAAATAATAGCTAAGAGACACGTTTCAAATGCTCAGACCTATCTCCCGACCACCTTAGTACAACCTCGGACGTGTGCACGACTGGACCCGAGCAAACATCGCGCCATGATCTCGAGGACAGTGATATGAAACAACATGGAAGACCCCCTCTACATAGCGCCTCAATGACCCCCGACGACGATGATCTAATGCTGGAGGGGGAGCAAAATATTAGACGCCAAGACCCATGGCCGGAGTACCATCATGCCTGTGGGAATTTGGATGTAAACCAAACTGAACGTACATGCTCATAAGAGTGCTTGGACATGCAGGTCTAGCATCTGGCCTATTGGAGATCGCCTCCCTCTTTGTCTCATCTCTGTTTGAAATGAATATTCTCACTTGGAACGTCCAGGGTGCAGGCTCGCCTGTCTTCCGGGGAGCCTTCTCCACCCTTATTCAACACTATCGACCGGACATTGTGGCTTTGTTCGAGCCCCGCATAAGTGGAGGGAATGCCGACAACTTCATACGGCTTAGTAAGTTTGCAAACTCCTTTCGCATTAAAGCCGCCAGGTAGTATATTTTGAGTTTATGTTAGTATATATTCAGTGTATGTTGCAATATTATAAGTCACGCATGTGCAGATATATACTAACATTCACCAAAAATATACTTCAAATATACTAAAAATGTGTAACAAGTGCAGAAAGCCAGTGTCAAAGTGTATAACATAGAAAGAGAAAAGATACTTCGGATAGAGAGAAAAGTTACCTCGGATATACCCACCAGATAACCAGAGAAAAGTTACTTCGGATATACCCAAATATAACCCAAGAAAAAAAGGAATTATTAAACAGATAACCAGATAAAAGTTACTTCGAATATACTCGGATATACGCAACATATACCTAACTCGGTTTATAAATATACCTTCGAATTATATACATTTTCAACGCATATGTGCAAAGGTTACAACTTCTTAAACACCCACAAAAGCTCAAAGCTGTTATTATTAAAAGCAAAATCAAATCATACAAGAAAAAAAAAAGGAAAGAAAAAATGGGGCAAATTCTAGGAAACACGAGATGGATTCTTTTTGTCATTCACTCAATTTCAAGATTCATTCGCAAGCATAATAATAGATAGGTTTTATGATTTGCCGGTGAGTTGCTGGGGCAGGGGGACCTTATTCGGCGGCGGGTGGCTGGTGGCGGTGAGAGGGGGCGTCGGTCGTGAAAGAAGGGTGTTTGGTAAGCATGAGCGGCCGATCCTTAGCCTCTTCGTCATCGTCCAAGTCGTCGTCGTCAGTAGACACGATTGTAAATATACCTTCGAACGAGAGTGGGTGGTTTGAGATGTGGGTGATAACTGATAAACAGGATTGAATAATTGTCTTGATCTGTGAAGATGAAGGGTTACGTGAGGGGGTAGATTACCTTTACCTTTTAATTCCACTTTTTTTGGTAAGTGGATAATTAATTTGACTTAATTATATAATTTTACCATTATTAAAATGTTCATAACAGTTAATCATATTTTTAGATATAATTGAAAATATTTTATGTGGTTTAGGTGATTTTAAAAAAGAAAATAAAACAAGTGCAAAAGTGTTAAATATTTTAAGCATAACTACATGGCATGCAATTTGGCCAAAGTACATATCTAACCAGCTAATGAAATATAATTCCATTAAAAATACTAATTACAATGAATTCCAAATTTACTCATTTCATTCCCAACCTATATGTAACTGCTCCTCTTTATCTAATCCGGACTTCTTTATCTTTTATCTATAGTTTTTCTCTCTCTTCCACTTTTTGTTCTCTCTTCTATTTTCCACCTTTTTTTTACTTCATCTTCATCTTCATCTCTTTTTTTTTTCTTCTTCATCTTTTTCTTCTTCAAATACAAATACAGATGCCTGAAGAAAAAAATAACCCAACAAAAAACGAAACAAAAACAAAAGAATTGACATATACATAGCAATATTATATACATAGCAATTAAATTAACTAAAAAACAACACCAAGATTTGTTATTGTAAATAAAAAAATTAATAATATATATTATAAAAATAACAACCAAGATAAGCAATATCAAAACAACACAATAACTTGTATGAAACAACATAAAAACAACTACTATAAACAATGAAAATATCAGTGAAATTATATGCATACATAACAATTAAATTACATCACATTTTCAATCTACACAACCAGAAGACGGATAGAAAAATAAAGATGAAAAGAAAATCGCCTCTCTATCTCTCTTAACAAACAACAAAATAAAGATTTCATGAAACACGGATACTGGCTACACTTGACTCAGACAAGCAGGATAGGATTGACTCACCGATTTTTGGTGAGCCATGGAAGCGAGAGCTGTTCGGTTGTGCTCTGTAATCTGTTATCGGCTTGCACGGAAATGGATGACAATGCTTCAGATTGTACGGAAGTTGATAGCTTGCCAAAATTTTGAGCGGATGACTGCCAAAATTAGCGATATAGATAAGGGAGATAGAGACATAGGACCAACAAAATGAAAAAAAAAAAAGAATAGAATAAAAAATTTATGATGAAAAGAACAAACACGAAGAGAAAGAATGAAGATAAATATGTGTACAGGAGAAAAGCAGAAATTCTATGGTGCCCATATGGGCACCATAGAATTTATAGGAGAAAAGAGAGAATAGTAACTTCTATTGTTTCATCAAAACTGAATATTTTAAAGGGTAAATATGACCTTTAAAATAATAATTGTCATATAAGAATAAAAAGGAGTAATTGTGGAAACACCTCTTCCCTATTCCAATAGGAATAGTGTCCTTAATTCCATGCGAATTTCCTCAAAGTAAACAGCACACAAACACTGAGGCCCATTAAGTAATTGCCCCCTTTGGTCCATGCCTGAGGCCCAATGACGTGTCATCTGCCCGTCGGCTCTCCATTTCCCATCGCATCCTTCTTATCTTCTCTCGCAAAACAAATCCCTAATTTCTTCAAGATCCCCATTTTGTCACCTTCAATCTTCCTAGTCTCCGTCGCCAAACTCTCAATTTCCGACCTTTGAACAACAGATTTGCAATTTACTACATTTTTAACCCACTAAATTCTCAGTTACACTGAAATTTACCGTAAAACCTGTAATCCCTTTTTCTCATTTGATTCTCCCT